GTGGCAGGCTGCAAAGGTACCTTTATATTCTACTGAAAGAGGGTGGAAGATACGCTATAGGAGGTGGCTCACCTTTCTCCTCCTGTGTAGGGACTTTTGTGCTCTCAGCCGGAGCCTGAATATAATGTAGCTCTATAGAATTTCAATGCTCGGTATTCACAAAAGTGTGTTTTTTCTCTCCTCCTTTCTCCCTCTCCCTCCCTCTCCCTCGCATCTGTTCTCCCACCCACTGTGTGTTCCTTTTCTGCATCCTTTTTAATTTATCTTAGTCTTGCTTTTTCCTTTTTACTTGACTTCACTCAGTCTTCCGGCTCTGTTCATTCTTGTCAATTCAAGCTGTTACAAACCAGAAATCTCAGGACGTAATGCTGACGATCAATTGGTGTGTGTGTGTTTAATTTTTTAAATCTTTATTTTTGTATTGTGTGTTTGAAAGAAAATAATAAAACCTGGCTAGGGTTGGAGTTTGGGTAATGTTGCAATTTTGTCATTTTGATTCAGCCCTTCCCTTCCACCTGTAACCTTTTGGGTTTGGGCAAAATATTTTTAAGGTCCTCATGTTTACAGTCACCAGGCATCCCCTCTGAAGCTGATGGAATGTGCGTTGTTTCTTCATCTTTGCCCTAGATCTGGCCTTCCAAACTGTCACAGCAACTTCTGATAGGGAGAATAAAGCATACTGGCTGCAGTTTTGCTTTTACTTTCTCTGCCATGTTTGCTGAGTAAGAGGGAGTCTGATAATCAAAGTAACCGAAGGCAGGCCTGCTTTACAAACTTAAATCTGTTTCAAAGCAAGCTACCCTGGGAACTGTAGTTCTGCAAAGGGTTTAGAGATTTTTATCTAAGTGTTCCTCATGCCTTACCATAAACCACTTCCCAGAGTTTTTTTTTTTTTTTGAGGGGGTGGGGGAGGGAATGCCATTGCAGTTGTATGTTTCAGAATGTAGGGGTGTATTAAGCAATGTAGTCCTCTTCTGGGAGAAGAGGGGTAAGCTATTCCCTCCTTCTCCCAGAATACTCTGCTGTTGCTACTTGTAATTCTGAGTTAGATAGCACCATACACAAATCGAGAAGGCATGCCAACATGTGAAGGAATAGGCTGGGGTGCTTACCCTTCAGGGGAGATGTGCTGGTAGACTGATGTCTTCATCTTGCAGTTAGATGTGGAGTTCTTTCTAGCCAGCAGGTGTGCTGCAGGCTTGGTTGGGGAGCAGATCCAATGTATCTTACCTGTTCAGCCCTTGTATAGGATGTTATGAAGAAGTAAAACCTCATTGTGGGATTTGGCAGCCTGCAGCCATGCCTAAACTGATCTGTGACTCCACTCAAGGTTGTTTTCGCATGGTGATTATGCCCTGTTGTATAGTCACTGCCACCACGGATGCAATGGCGTTCATAGTGGCAGCAGAGCATCTACCAGGGTGGGGTGATTCTCCTTTCTTTGGTCATGCCTTGAGGGTCCCTCTGCCACCTCTGAAGAGCTTTTTGCCAGCTTGAAAAAATCAGTAGTTGCTATATATCGCTATAGCATTATTAACAGCCGATTAAAAAAAAAAAGCCCTGTGGTGGTATGTGAGGGGTGGTAGCTGTGAGGGGATGACAGCGGCAAAATAGCACCTGTGGTAAAAAAAAATGTGCGCCTTCCTTTCCACATGACATGGAAACTGACTTGGATCATGCCCAAGCAGATTTTGGAAACATCAGCACACAGGAGCACGATACGAATATACTTCTGACGATCTCTAGCTGTAGGAATGAACACAGCTATGTTGTATGCTCCTTTACATTTGCTGAACACAAACGTCCATCTGTTTGACTGTTGAGTAGAAGCAGCCTCATTGTTCTTATCCGTGTGACAGAAGCGTCATTTTGTAAAGTATACGGGAGTGGTCTCTTGGCAGCTTGAAAACAAACACAACACAGGTTCCAATAAGGAGGCTTTATTTCAATCATTGGAAAAGAGGAAAGGATATTTCTGGAGTATCTGGCAGTGAAGAAAACACTGATTCCCTACAATTTAGGAAGGTGATGCCTGCTGACAGTTTTGGTATTGGGACAGCATACCCATAAAATTGTGCCTGAGGATTCTATGTAAAAAGTCCTGAATAAATTTCACAGACCATTACTACTGTCTCATTGTCTTCTTGGCTGTGGCAGCTTTGCGGGCAGAGGTGGGATGGCAGGGGTTGGCCTGGGAATAATTCATACCGTAAAACAACTATCTTCATTTTTTTGTGAGTCACAAATTCTGCATCCCAGTACACTTCATTTACAGAGCAGGAGTGGCTAAAGCTGGAATATATTAAAATCTTAAGCCTCACGAGATACACAGTTCTTCTGTGTCTCTTGTCAATAAAGGCTACCCTTTCCCTTTTGTGTCTCAACCTGGCTGTAGGTCCTGGAACCCTTGATTGGTAGGTCTCCTCAGCTTGTGCTGTTGCTTCTAGAAACGTCTTGTCATCACAGTCTTCTCAGTCTCCAGCTATGGCAGTGGAAGAGAATGTCTCCCATTTTGTCTGTCCTGCACACTTTTTGTACCCACTTAGAATTTTCTTCTGGTTTAGAAGTCACAGACTGGCTAACCCTGATAAGGTATCTGGGACCACCCACCTCTGGCCAAGAAATATAGACTTTCTGTCCAGTCCCCTCAGCTCAGCAGACTGCTTTATGGGTAGCTGCTGCTGTTTAGCTATTTATTTAGAAAAAAAAATTATGCTGCCTTTTCAGGCACCTGTCTGATGGGACTTACAACTTTTTTTTTACAACAAAAATAATAGTAATTAAAATTCAGTATTAAAAACCCAACCCAGCATAGACAGACCATAAAAAGAGACAAATGAGAGCTTTAAACAAGTTTCTAGACTAAAATAGTATTAAATGATCAATCCCTTAATTAAAAACATGGGTGAACAGAAAACATTTTGGCCAGGCATCTAAAAGAAAGCAATTTGGCACAAGACAAGCCCAAAGGCATTCTGTAAGCATGGTGCCGCTACTGAAAAAGCCCTGTTTTTGGTTGTCACCCATCTCACCTCTGAAGATGGGGACACAGAGCAGAGCTTGTGAGGCAGATATTAACTGGTGGACTGGGCAATGTGGGCAGAGGCAGTCCTTCAAGTACCCTAGCCCCTGAACCAGGCTTTAAAGGTAACCAGCACTGTGAATTGTGACTGGAATCAAATGGTCAGCCAGTGCAAATCTTTCAGCGCACTGATGATACTATCACTGTTAATCTCAGGCCTGCTAATAGCCTGGCTGCTGCATTTCGTACAAGCTGAAGCTTGTGGACCATTTTTAAAGGCAGCCCAACCAAATGCAAATTACAGTAATCTCACCTGGATGTAATTAGAGCATGGATCATTGTGGCCAGATTATGCTTTTCAAGGATTGGCTGTAGCTGGCCTAACAGTCAAGCAGATAAAAGGCACTATGTGCCACAGAGGAGATTTGGGCCTCCACCTGTAGGCCAGGATCCAGCAGTACCCCAAGCTGTGATGCTGTTCCTTCAAGAGGCTGACTCCTCAGGCATCTTTATTATTGACCAGCAGCACCTCAGTCTTGTCTGGATTGAGCTTCAGTTTACTGGCCTTCATCCATCCTATTACCTTCTCCAGGCACCAGTTCAGACTTCCAGAGACCCACCTGATTCAAATGTTAAAGGGAAGTAGAGCTGAAATTAACTTGCTATAGCTCCAAGCCCAGGTAAGACAGAGAAGAAGAGAGATCCTATATAAGATGAAACAGAAGGCAAGCAATGGCCAAAGAGGCTCAACATCTAACTGAAGAGAGGGTGGGGCCCACTGCCAGATGTACCCGAGAGAATTAAGCCTTTCCCTCCCAGATCCTCTAGCATGCAGAGTTACAATATCCAACAATTAATTCATAGGGTTGTTATAAGTTGTAAGTGACTTGATGGCACATAACACACACACACATTGTGTGAATGAGCTCTGCTAATTGTGTCAAAGGAAACAGTTTGTGCCTCTCAGCTATGCGACACATAGTAAGAACATAAGAAAATCCCTACTGGATCAGACCGATGGTCCATCTAGTCCAGCATTCTGTCTCACATAGTGGCCAGCCAGCTCCTCTGGAAGGCCAGCAACTGGGCACATAGGCCTTCCCTATGATGTTGCCTCCTGGCTCTGAGATTTGGAGATTTAGTGCCTCTGAATGTAGAGATTCCCCTCAGTCACCATGGCTAGTAGCCACTGATAGACCTATCCTCCATGAATCTAATCCCCATTTAAAGCTGTTTATTCCTGTGGCCATCACTACATTCTCTGGCAGCAAATTCCACATTTTAATCATTCTGTGTGTAAAGAGGTAGGTCCTTTTGGCCATTCTGAATCTACTACCCATCAGCTTCATTGGATGCCCTCGAGTTCTAGTATTTTGGGAAAGGGAGAAAAAGTTCTTGTCAGCTCTCTCCACTGCATGCATAATTTTATAAACCTCTATCGTGTTCCCCTTTTTCTAAACTGAAAAGACCCAGACTCTTCAGCCTTTCCTCAAAGGGAAGGTGCCCCAGCCCTTGCCTCCCTCTATACTATTTCCAGCTCTGTGATATCTTTGAGATAAGGTGACCAGAACTGTGCACAGTATTCCAAATGAGGCTGCACCATGGATCTATACAGGGGCATTATAATATCTGCTGTTTTATTTTCAACCCCTTTCCTAATAATCCCTAACATAGACTTTGCCTTCTTCACCGCTGCAGCACACTGGGCTGACACTTTCACTGAGCTATCCACTACGACCCCAAGTTCTTTTCCCCTCTTAGTTCAGACCCTCATTAGCCTATACTTGAAGCTGGGATATTTTTTTTGTCCCAGTGTGCATCATTTGCCACTTACCAACACTGAACTTCATTTGCCACATTGTCACTCACTCGCCCAGGTTGTGGAGGTCCTCTTGGAGCTCTTCACAGTCAGCTAATACAGCTAATGATAAAGTTAACTTTTGAGCTACGGTAGGTTTGGAACTGAGCATGTTTTGAACCTGCACCCAGGATCAAATATAATGTTGAAATGCCATGCTGAAGACTTTATGATGCTGCAGATGTTGCTCAGACTACACAACGTTCTTGTGAGTCTTTAGTTTTATTTATAATGTGAGACGAGATGACCAATTCCTCTTGAGAGCAGAAGACCAACATTGTTGTCTGTGATGATATACATTTCTTTGTCCACGTGGCCAGTATACACTTGTACCAGGTTCAAACTGGTTTAATTGTAATGGGTTCTGCCAGAGACGTTGAAAAGGATTGTGTGTGTTTGGGGGTGAGGAGATGAAGGATGCTGTGATTTTTCTGGTGCCCTTTCATCACATCTCACGGGTTCCTTGTCCAGGAGCCATGACAGTTAAACAAATGTAACATGGGCTTTTCACAGAAAACCAATTTTTCACATTTCCCATATCAATCAATACAGTACAATGATATTTTATGTCTCTGTATGTTGATGAACTTTTTATTTCATCACATTTTCAAACAACGAAGTAGGCTGCAGCCCTAAAATGCACACTTGCCCTTGGATACAAACTCTATTGAACACCTTGAGTCTTCAGAGTAAACACGAGAGGGTCAGGCCATACAAATGGTTTACCATCTTCGATGACAAAGAGACAAGGTCAAGCTACGTCACAAGGAACAAGCAGTACCATTTTTGTGCAAAGCGCAGTATGTTGGTATTAATGCTACTTCCTTTTAGTAAGAAGTTTGGACATTTAAAACTTAAATCTTAAAGTAAGTTCATGGGCCAGTACAGGTAAGAATCTCCATGATAAGGTAATGGCAGAAAGTCACTTGCACTCAAAAATGACTGTGAGAATTTATATTCAGGTTGGCTGGGTGTGGAGATGATATGGGTGCAATGGTGATGAATGGAGACACAAACCTGAAAATCAGTTAATTAAGGTACATGGCCATATATGGAGTAGCAGAAGTTAGGGGAAGGGGCTATGGCTCAGTGGTAGAGCATCTGCTTGGCATGCAGAAGGCCCCAGATTCAATTCCCAGCATCTCTAGTTAAAAGGATCAGGTAGCAGATGAAGTGAAAGACTTTAGACTGTGGAGAGGTGCTGCCGCCAGTCCAAGTAAACAATACAGGTCTGGCTTAGTTTTAGTCAGCTTCAGGTGTGTGTTCAAGAAGGAACTTAAGGAGGTCTTCAGCTGAGGAACACGAGGTCCTTTAAGGGCCGTCATCTGGTCTTTAGGCAGTCCCATGACGTGTTTTTTTAAACTGAATAATTGCAACACACAATTCACATGAAGTTCATTTCTTTCACCCACCCCCAACAGCAACTGCTCAGGGTATTCCTTACCCTTATCTTCCAGTGTACATACTAACTACATGTTATAAATGCAACTTAAAAAAAACCCCACAAATTATTTCTACAAGAGAGGCTCCACCTTCCATTTCAGAAGACATTTCCTCTCCAAGGTCTTTTGGTTATTCAGTCTTCACTACCATATAAACAAATGATGACTGCAGCTTTTTGGTAGCAAAATGAAGGCTGATGGATAATGGTAGAGAACTGCACCTCACCATTGTTCCTTGTTGTGAGGATTGCCCACCTTTTGGATTTTTTTAAAAAAAATCTACCGTCACTGGCCTCATAAGGCCCCTTCTGCTGCTGCCTTGAAACCACCTTGAAATTCAGCCCTTGAAAATCACTATGGGATTTGGTCCGATGTGGAATGCCCCTGCAGTCCAGAACATTGAAAGGTATGCTGGGGCCTAGAGGTGGCACCTCCATGCAGCCTATGTGGTCTCATAGGTTGAAGATGGCGTGAAGCCTTGTTTAGCTCATCATGGCCTGCTTCATCCAGCCTATCACTGAGGTTATTCTGGTGTAGACTCCATAGTAATTGGGGCGTGCACATCCTAGGCCCCAGCTCACCAGACCAGCCAGGAACCATCTGCCGCTAGGCTCCTGGCAGGCAAGAGGTCCTCCAGAGTCACCCTAGAAAAGAAGCAACGCAACCATCATCTGGTCTGAAAGAAAGATTTTTCTGAAGGAGGCAAGTGGAAAGAAACATTTATAATATGCTTTGCCTCCTCTGTTGCTGGTTACATGCAGATGAGCAGGCCCCCACAAGCTATTTAAGGAATGGGGCTCAAAGTTACCTGACAAGAATCCTTCTTTCCATCATGGTAGCCAGCACAAAGCATTCTTGGTGTGACTCGGTAATGATAGACTTCGTTGCAGATATCCTGTTGCACTAGGGATATATTTGCCTTTTGCAAGATCTTACTGGTGGGACCTGGGTGTGGGGCACAAGATTAGGAGGAAGAAAGCAAAGAGTAAATCCACCTCTCCCCCTTGGGGTTGCCAGCTCCAGGTTGGGAAATACCTGGAGATTTGGGGGTGGGAACCTGAGGAGGGCAGGGTTTGGGGGAAGGGATGAACTTCAGTGAGGTATAATGCCAGAGAGTCCTCCTTCCAAAGCAGCCATTTTCTTCAGGGGAACTGATCTGTGTTGCCTGGAGATCAGTTCTAATAGCAGAAGATCTCCAGCCACCACTTGGAGGTTGGCATCCCTGTTTTCCCCTCATGTGAAGTTACGCACAATGCACATCTTTCTGCATATTCAGTGGGCCTGCGCAGCACGGATTTCCTGTGGATTGCCCGCTCCATGCATGCTTCATTCAAAGAACACATCATGTGACTGTCATCTCTAGATACTTCAATGCAAGGCCTGCCCAGTATATTCCCAGATTGGCATTTGAGACTTGGTTCTGGAGAACACCAGAATGTCTATCCCTGCCTCAAGCAAAAGGAAGAGACTTAAAATGGAAGTGGTTTAAAAATGCAGGTCATGCTATTCCCCAATCAGTGTGGGAAGTATCTGTCCATTCTCAAGTTCTTTGCCCAGGGATGTAGATATGTGCGATGTTGAAGCATTATAGGCTGTGATCATTGATGAATGTTCATTTGCATCAGTTAAGGAGGATCTATACTTTAGAAGTAGGTTTGATTTGAGTAATTGTTGGGGTTTTTTTTGCATAGAGCTATCATTCCATAAGATTCTAGGCAATAGATAGAGATTGTGAGGTTGGTGTTGGAAATAACGTTGGTGTGACAGTTGGGTTCTAGTCAAAGGGCTGACATTGAGAGTTAAAATAAGTGGAAGATGGTCACTGATTATATAATCGCCATCAGTGAGATCTAGAACATGAGATTCCAATGAAGGGGAAACTATAAAATAGTCAATTACACTGCAGCCCTTTGTTGAGACAAATGTATATTCTCCAGAACTGGAAAAGTTGGTAAGCCCATTCAGCCAAACTTTATTAAATAGAAGACAAAGTCTGGTGAAATAGATGGCTGCCGAGTTTATATAGCGATCTTTGGAGTACTTTGTAGAAGTGAAAATAGGTGGGAGTGTATCCTCCTGATTAATTTCTATAGCCTTAAAAAATATTTTATGATCATTGCCTACTCAGGCATTAAAGTCACCTGCCAGAATTATTTCAGCCAAGGGATGTTCCTCTTCTAGTCTTTCAAGAAAAGAAGTTAGTCGTTTCCAATGCTGGGAAAAAAGGAAAGAGTTAATCTGTCTAAGGAGTTGGGAACATATATTCACAATAATCAGAGTAAGGTTATCAAGAACAAGCTTAATAGCTTGCTCAGTGGGGCTATCCAATTGTAACATAACAGAGCCAGATCACTTGAAAGCGACCCTTAGGGTTAATCCTATACCGTGGGAGGGAAAAGGATTTATACCCCTCAATCTGAATCTGATTTGGTGACCAGGTTTCCTGAAGGAGTATAATATCAAAATCATTAAGGTAACTTAGAAATTCAACATCCTTGGCCTTATTCCGCCAGGGAAGTATCTGTCCAAGGGAGGTCATGGGTTAACGTTCTAATTTCCCAATTTATTTATTTTTTTGCTTTGATGTTCCTAGTGTTTCAACTTAAAATGTCCTAAATGGCTTTTTATCTTCAAAAGATCAGCTACTGAGAAGTTTGGGTTTGTTTGTTTTTAAACATTCTCCAACCTGTGTTAAGTTTGGAAACGTCTTTTGAAAAACTGAACAACAGAGCTAAAATCTGTTGTCGAAGAGCTGAAATATTTTGACTGAAACAGCTTGATCATTTTAACAAACATCAATATATGGTCTAAAAAAAATTGTGGTAGGGTGTGAGCTTTCGTGAGTCACTGCTCACTTCTTCAGATACCTGAAGAAGTGAGCAGTAATTCACGAAAGCTCATCCCCTGCCACAAATTTTGCTAGTCTTTAAGGTGCTACTGGACTCTTGCTCTTTTCTACTGCTACAGACAGACTAACACGGCTACCCATCTTGTTCTATCAATATATGGGCATGTTTGCAATTTACACGAAGATCCACTAAGGGGAGCAAAAGAGCACCTTGCTGCAAAGCAGAAACTGCCACGTTCTGTTTTTATATACTACCTTATGATGCTGAATTAATTTTGGACTGAACAGGAAATACAGCATAGCTGTTATAGACAGCAGGATCTGTCAAGCTTAGACCAACACAGCCTCTCAAGAAAGGTTAGTTTCATAATAAGGACATTTGGTTGGGCCTCAGTGACAGAACGAGACACACACTGCAATACCTCCTTCCTTGACTGCGCCCCAGCCGGTGATCCAGCAGACGTGGCCAGGCTCAAAGAGATGGGAGCTGGCCGGCAGGCAGATGCGTCGGATGGAAGAGGAATAGACGACTGGATGGTCGAGCTGCAGCAGGGCCACATCATAGTCATGGCTGTCCTCTTCGTAGTAAGGATGCTGCAGGATACGACTCACCTTGAAGGAGACCCCATTGTGGCTAGTGACGTTCAGGAAATACTTGCCCAGGTAGACCGTCCAGGCAGTGGGAGAAGCCAGCCTGCAAGGCACAGTGGGGAGGCCAAGATTTCAGCGTGATCTTCCTACTGGGTGCCTGAGGAACAGTATGTCGTACCTTACAGAGTACACAGGTGGGGTCCCCATCCCATGTCAGATGTAACCCAATCACATGTGAGTGCCTGATTAAAATCAGAACTGCAATGCTTGTGGAAATGGGGCTTCAGCCATCCACCCTGTGCCATTTTCTCAGCCTGAAACAATCCTGCGGGGACATAGTTTGGGGAAACTTATGCACGCTGGGATACATATTTTCCCAGTGAGCCCAGTAGTGCCCCCTTCTTTACATGGACCACAGCCCTGGGAATGGAGGAGAACCCACAACTCATATGTGATTGTGTTAATGACACAGGGTGGGGAGGATCCAGATCCATCCTGTGTACTCTGTAATGTGAGACTGTCTCATAACGAGTACATCTTACCACAGATGAGCCCCAGATTGCTCCCATCCCTGAAGCTCTATGGCGTGGAAGGCTACAGGGCACAATTGCCTTATGGGGTCAGAGCTAAGGTCCAGTTAGCCAAGGACTGTGCATTCAATGGCAGCTAGTGATATATCCCTGGGAACATGGTTGGCAGGCTGGTGATAGACCTCGCCAGCTGGTTGTTCCAGCATCAGCAATCAGTGGTACACTGTACATCCATATGGGTGTTCCATTTTTTAATTATTATGGCGGTTCGTCACTAATAGCCCTACTCTCCATGGGTTTGTTGGATTCTGTTTTTCCTCCCAAAGCTCTCAAAACAAGCTAGCCGTGCAATCCAAACCACAGTTAAACCCTTCTAAACCCATTGATTTCTATGAAAAGGTGTACCACTGATTGGGATGGCACTATTTTACATTGTTACAAGATGGTATTTGTGTCTCCACAGGAGAAAGGTTCTAGAACTGGCACTTCTTGGAGTGATTGTGGGGGGGGGATGACTTGTAAAACATCTGTGAATAAAGGTGGTGCACAATAAACAGTGATAAACAATCACCTGTTCCTCAGCTTCTCTTAGAACTGTTTGCAGTCCCTCCTGAAACACACCAAAGCCTATCCATTATGAAATCAACACTGGATCTCCATGTGTAGTTACCACTAGGCTCCTTCTTTCATGATATTACCACTGTAATGTTCTGTAAATGTTAAAGGCTCCACCAAAGAGAAGTGGGTGCTTGGAGTGTCATCACACTCATTCCCTAATCTATATACTAATAGCCAAGTTGCCCCTGTGAGTGCGGATCGCTAAATCCGCGCTCCGGGGGCACTTGGGGGGGAGGGGGAGGTTTGTGCACATGTGGGGCGGTCCCCACGTGTGCACAAAAATCCAAAAAGTTGGAAAATATTTCGGGGGGATGTTTAAATCCCCCCGAAAGTGACAGAGCGTCCCCTGTGCATGTGCAGGGAACGCTCTGTAGCTGGCCTCGCCACCGCCTCCTCGGAGCCAGGCGGGCGGGCGAGGGGGGGGAGGACCGGCCTTTCCGCCACCGCCTCCACCTTGGAGCCGGGGGGGGAGGACCGGCCTCGCCGCCACTGCCGCGGAGCCCAGCCGACCCCGCCGCCGGGGGGGGAGGGGGGGGGGGGGGGGAGGGGGGAGCCGGGGCTCTTCCCCCCCCCCCCCGCGAGTATCGCGGGTCCCCCTCTTGTTAGACCTAACTCTCACTGAGGAGGTCTGCTGGAGTCTACCAGTCGTATGAATGAATTTAAAAAGGTCCTTCCACATAGAAAATGCAAGGAGATGAATTCCAGCCCAGTCTTCCCCCTGACAAGCCAATTTTCTATGTGGAGGGAATTTCTTTGCAGGGCATACAATCCTGTGTGTCTCCATCTGCAATCTGAAGTGGTACAGCTCTCACACCAGTCACACTGTCTCAGCCTAATCAACCTCCCAGGACTGTTGAGATTATAAAAGCGAGAGAAGAAGAACCTCCTATGCCCCTCTGTTGAGGAAGGTGTGTGTGTGGGGAATGTGCTAGACCGACATTAAAACAACAGCACAGGGGAAAGAACCAGCCCCCTCACCACCTAAGATCATGCCTCCGATCTAATTTTAATCCTCTCACAGCTTCTTGGAAGCCTTAAAGATCTCCCACATATCATGAAGACTAGGCCTGAGTAGAACTCAGCAAGCAATGTGAACAGTACTCAAGATTATTGAGGGCCAGTGTGGTTTAGTGGTTAAGAGTGTCAGACTAGTATCTGGGAGACCCAAGTTCAAATTCCCACTTGTGCCATGGAAGCTGACTGGGTGACCTTGGGCCAGTCACACTCTCTCAGCCTAACCTACTTCACAGGGTTGTAGGGAAGATAAAATGAAGAAGAGGAGAATGATGTAAGCTAATTTGGGTCCCCACTGGGGAGAAAGGCAGGGCATAAATGAAACAAACAAACACATAAATAAATGAAAATTCCCTCAGCCCCCCTTCCCACTGGTCACCTGTCTTCTTGGAAACAGTGCGCAGCGGTGATCACCCAGCGGTCTGCAATCAATGTTCCACCGCAAACATGGTGCCCACGAACCTGCAGGCTGGCTTGCCAGGGCCACTCCTCTTCTAACGAATCAACACCCCCCACAATCCGATTAATTGGGCCCTGCAGTCCACAATCTGAGGAAACAGAAAGAGCCCCTAGGAGATGGGAAGGATCTCTAGAAGGAAGGCAAGAATGAAAGGAACAGGATACAATGCCAGATATTTTAATTTAATTCTTTGACATCTGTTTCTTGGTCCTTTATAACAGAAGCAATTTGAGATTTCAAAGGTCACAGCTAGAGAAAAATCTAGTTCAAGTTTTCCTTTGTGACTTCATTAAATTAAATTAATGGTTACCAAGACTGTCCCTAGATGTAAGGCAGGCTGAGGACCCTGCCGCAGATGACAGATTTCGGCTGAGGTTTAAGGGCAGCAAATTGTTGACAGTGGAAGGAAAAACAAGTTGGTGAAATGGGTAAGAAATTGGGGCTGTGAATTAAGAATTCCCCAACTCAAAATTCACCTCAGCCATGAACTCACTGGGTGGCTTTAGGCAAGCCACTATCCCTCAGTGTTTCCTGTATAATACGGAGATCATAACGCTGGCATGTTCTTAGAGGAATACTACATGGACTACGGAGATGAAAGCAGGCAAAACCCTTTGAGTCCTCTGAAAAAGCTCAGTGGTATTTCACAAAGGATGGATGACATGGCAAGTTCTTGGGACACATGGTGTGCTCACCAATGAGAAAGGTGCAGGGAACAAGGTACGACTGCAGAACAAGAGCAGACCCCACAAACTAGGAGAGTGCATGCCATCATTTCTCACCTCCCTTGTGCTCTCACTATAGGAAGAGATCACCTTTTCTAATTTCAGATGTCTTGTTCCTGAAGTGAAAATGGACCTCCAATAGAACATATTGGCCCCTGCCACACGGGGGGGGGGGGGGGAGTACAGACAAAGTGCGGCTTTTAAAAGCCGCACCAAAAGAGACACGCGGCGGCGGGATCACACAGATCCCCTGAGCCGCCACGCAGTTCCTCCCCGGCACGATCAGATGCCGGGCGGGAAGCCACTGAAAGGAGAGCGAGGCAGCCGAACTGCGCATGTATTTTTAAAAGAACCCGTGTTTTGTTTTTCAGCACACTACTATTGCATTTTACAGCTCTCTGGCCCCAAAAGGTTGTCTATCGTTGCACTAAAATTTAGAATGGAAGCCCTCTTTTGTGAACCAGGTCCTAATTATATATTGGGTCATGATTCCTGTACATTTTTCTAACAGAAGGTACCGTGTATATTTTGCCTAGGCTTTCTGCATCTGTTATACGTTGGGTACAATCATGATGACATTTAGCATTACATTTGGATTCTCTTCATCATAAGAATTTGATTTTCACCCACTATATTTCCTAGAACAGTGTCCCAACTTTTCCAGACCCAAGGCCTACCTTTAAACCCCAGGCAGCACCTTGGGACCACTGAATTGAAAGTGACAGGAAGTAAAATGACATCACAACCTTGTGACATCAGAGTCATGTGGCAGCAAGACAAGGGACCAGGGTTACCAGGCTGGGATGTTCCTGAACATCTGGGGGAGTTGGGTGAGCCTGGGAGGCAAGGTCTGGAGAAAGAAGGGACCACAGCAGGGATGTGATACCGTAGAATCCACCATCCAAAACAGCCATTTTCTCCAGGAGAACTAATCTCTGTCATCTGGAAATCAGTTGTAAATCTGGGAGATCCCCAAGCCCCATCTGGAGGTTGGCAACCCCAGGGGCACTGCACCACTGAGTGCTGTCACCATGCCGCCCTGTTACTACACTCTGCTACCATGCAAAAAGAGGCCAGGAGATGTGGTGCTCTTTATAAAAGGCTGTGGGAGCAAATCCTTTCCAAAAGTAGCAACAAAATGGTGGCTCTGCAAGTGCTCATGACCCAGCAGGTGGGTTGGTGTGGCCTACCTGAAGCCCCCCCCCCCCCCCCCAGTGTCTGGAAGACTCCTCCCAACAGCAATCCACAATCACTACCTACGAGTCTGATGCCAGCAGCCTAGGATATAGTGAGGTTTTTTTATACTGCTCTTCTACCAGTACCACTAAAAGAAACGGAAACTTCTTAGGGTTGAATCATAGAATCACAGAGTCGGAAGGGGCCATACAGGCCATCTAGTTCACACACACACACACACACACACACACACACACACACACACACACACACAGCGCTCATTGGAGTCTCACCATAGAGTCTCCTAGCATCCTTGACAAGTGTTTGTCCAGAGGCTGCTTAAAGACTTAAGAAGAACCAAAATACAGCCGTGATATAATTACGCAGTGTAACATTGTATAGTCAATTATATTGTTTAGCAGGCACATACATATAAACATATACATGCAAAGATTATAATGACAAAGCACGAGTACTTTATTTATTTAAAACGTTTAACCATTATAACCTTTGCATGTATATGTTTATATGAATGTGCTCGGTAAACAACATAATTGACTATACAATGTTATACTGAGTAATTATATCATGGCTGTATTTTGGTTATTCTTAAATGCTTTTCCCGTGATCTCTCCTATATTGCTGCTTAAAGACTTCCAGTGAGGGGGCACTCTCCACCTCCCTAGGCAGCTGATTCCACTGTTGCACAACTCTTACTGTTAAAAAAGTTTTTCCTAATATCTAATACCTTCCCACCCTTAATTTAAACCCATTATTGTGAGTCCTCTCCTCTGCTGCCTCCCTGCCCTCCTCTAGGTGACAGCCCTTCAAATACTTAAAGAGAGCAATCATGTCCCCCCTCAGCCTCCTATTCTCCACACTAAACATTCCCAAGCCCCTCAGCTTTTCCTCACAGGGCTTGGTCTCCAGGCCCCTGATCATCCTCGTCACTTTCCTCTGCACCTGCTCCATTCTGTCCACATCCTTTTTGAAATGAAGCCTCCAGAACTGCACACAGTACTCCAGGTGTGGCGTGACCAATGCAGTATGCAGCAAGACTATGACATTTTGTGATTTTGATGTTATGACTCTGTTGATACACCCCAAGATCACATTAGCCTTTTTTGTCGCCGCATCACACTGGCTGCTCATATTTAATTTATGGTCCACCCGTATCCCAAGATCTTGTTCACACACACTGCTACCCAGAAGTGTATCCCCCATCCAGTATGCATGTTTCTCATTTTTGTTACCCAGATATAGAACTCGGCACTTTTCCTTGTTAAATTGTATCTTGTTCACATCTGCCTCCTTTTCCAGTGTGTTCAGATCTCATTGAATTCTATCTCTGTCTTCTGGTGTGTTCGCTGCTCCTTTCAATTTGGTGTCATCTGCAAGTTTAATGAGTAGCTCCTCCACACCTTCATCCAGATAATTTATTAAAATATTGAAAAGTACCGGGCCCAGAACCAAGCCCTGTGGCACCCCACTGGACAACTCCCTCCATTCAGATGAAATGCCATTGACAACTACTTGTTGCCAGCTACGGGCTGGGAAATACTTGGAGATTTGGGGGATGGAGCCTGAGGAAGGAGGGGTTTGGGGAGGGGAGGGACTTCAACGGGGTATAATGCCATAGAGTCCACCTTCCAAAGTAGCCATTTTCTCCAGGTGAACTGATCTCTTTCACCTGGAGATCAGTTGTCATAGTGGGAAATTTCCAGCCACCACCTGGAGGTTGGCAACCCACTTCTCTATTTCACAGTGCAATCATATGTGGAGTTACTCCCTTAGTTCTAAGCCCTCTTACTTCAGCAGACTTTGAAGGGTTTAATTCTACTTAGGACTGCACTGTCAATTGCCTACAGGCTGGAGGCCTGTGAGGAATTCCAGGAGGGAGGAAGAACAATTTGGTAATCTCTTCCTCATGATTCTACAAACTGTCAGGTACTAATCCCCCCCACACTTTTTGATTTAACTGCCTCTCATTTGTTCTCAGTGTTCTTTATCTCCTGATCATGCCCATCGCTCATCTTCCTATTCCCCCATGTCGTGTTGGTAATTTGCAAAGTAGCATTTTTCTGTATTCCTGTGGAATTCCCGGAGTATGTAAAAAACCCTACATGATCTGTGAATGGCCTGGATTTGCTGCTTTTTTGAGGTCTTCAGTTTAGTTTTAGATATAGCAATGACATTTCTTTTAATCAAGCATGTCCTCACTCATTAAATTCTCACCACAGTTCATCTCATCAGAGCGATCCTTGCAGTCAGGAACGGAGTCACACCGAGGGTTGGGTTTCTTTACACAGCTCTTGTCTGCACATTGGTAGGTGAAAGGACTGCAGGGAACTCCTGGAGATGTATGGGGAGAGGAATGAGCGAGGTTACTTATGCTGTTTTAACTATTATTCATATTGTCACTATTACTGTTTCAGCTACCAAACACTAACAGTTTGTTAGCTGCTATGAATGTGAAAATCATATTACTGTCCAAAGACCTTATAATCAGTATCAAAGGCTGGTACTTTCAGGAAAAAAATAATATGGTACAGCCCTTTTCAGACTATAACACTTCAGAGTGCAGGTAGGGGATTGTATGATTAAATTATGTTACCTCAGGTCAAGAATTCCCTGTCTGGAATGGGTAAAGGTAAAGGTTCCCTTGCTCGAAAGCCAGTTGAATCCGACTCTAGGGTTGCAGTGCTCATCTCCGTTTCAAAGCCGAAGAGCCAGCGCCGTTCGAAGACATTTCCGTGGTCATGTGGCTGGCACGACTAAACACCAAGGCGCACGGAACGCTGTTACCTTCCCACCAAAGTGGTACCTATTTATCTACTTGCAATTTCTTGCTTTCGAACTGCTAGGTTGGCAGGAGCTGGAACTAGAGACAGAAGCTCACTCTGTCATGAGGCACATTCGGGTCTCGAACTGCTGAACTACCGACCTTCCACAGCCTGCAGTTCAGCATCTTAACCACTTGAGCCACTGCAGCTCCTCTGGAATGGGTAGCTGTCAGTAAAAAAAATAATAAAAGGGTGGGGGTGCATCGGGGAGGGCGGGATACAAATATGAAAAATAAATAAATAAATACTCAACAGAGGGGTGAACCCACTGAGATGATGGATTCTATACAGAAATGTTATTGTCAATTTGTTGTTTGTACAACTGTGTATGTTCATTTTGCAACAGTTCTGACAATCGTAATTGTGCAAACAAGTTCATTAACAATGTCCTTCTAGTGCAAAACTAACATATCAGGAAGAAGTTTCCCAATGCAGTTTTCTTGACTTGCTGGTCTTTTCATAGGCCTTTTGGTCATTACATTTGGGGGGGTATACACAACCATGTGTACTGGAAGCATGCAGTGCCCATAGTCCTCCTTATACATGCGGACACCATTTTGCCTAAATAGGGTATTATGTGCATATTCGGTAGCAGATACTGAAGCCGAAGATATGTGTGTGTCCTGTTCAGACAAAACAGAGGATTGAGGATAGCACACGCTTCCAGTATGCTTGGATGGATACACACACCCCCCCCCAACATAATGAATGAAAAGGGCTTATTCCAGAACATTTTTATAAGTAAGGAAGAGTTCCTGAAGCTTCAAGTAATGGATAATGGATACAAAGAGAATTATATAGTCCAGTTTTGATTAATCACTGAATGTTACATATAAATAAAGTTTCCAGATCCGGCAACCAGGCTAGTATCCTATTTCCGACAGTCCTGATTTGATGATAAAAAGCACGTCACCTACAGGATATTACCTTCCTTATTCACACTCCAAAGATCTGAGCTTTGAGAACACACCCTGGATTTCTTCTGATTGCAACTGATTTTTTTCCCCCTACTGAGAATTCATTTAACTGTTTCTGAGTTTCAGGTTTCACCCAGTCTTTCTTTGGTTCCAGCCTACCCTCAGGGAGAATATTGGTTCTGGCTGGTATGGCCAGATGGAGTACTCATGGCAAGGTAGCGGCATTTGAATTCTCCTAGTAGCACACTCAAAAGAATGTATTTTGCAGTCTATGTCGAATGCAAGGCAGTAGATTCTGAGGAAAGGCTTCACTGACACCCCCCCCCCCCAGCTTTGATGCAAATAGTGTAAACTTAGTAGCTGCCCCATACCTTCATTGCATTGTTCCTCATCACTCCCATTGATGCAGTCCAGATGTTTATCACAGACCCTGGAGAACTCTAGGCATGTGCTGTCCTCATGACACTGGAATTTTGCAGGGCATACTGACAAGTTTCAAAACACAAGAAGAGAGGAGTGCATGGGAAAGAGAACAAAGGAAAACCCAGAGTTTTCTGACAACGACACAACCATGGATAGCAAATTCAGGGCGAGTTGCTTAGTGAGAGGTGACTTTTATCACAAGTGGTTGTATGTTAGAGGCAAGTCCATTTCATCTCTGGGCGATGGGCAGCAGTGGTAGAGTACCGTGCATGTTTCAAGGACCACTGTGTGAGACCATGGAGAGCTCCTGTGGCACTAGACTAACTGGCACTAAAGGGACCTGTGGTCTGAACTAGGAGCGCTTGTTGAGAACTATACTTTTGCATCATGAGCCTGACCATTCTTAAAATAATAATCACAAATGATGCCTCTCTCAATATTTTTTAATCAAAAGGCATCATGTTGCGTTAAGGAGAATATAAGACCGGATATTCTCACATACAGTAGCTTCTGAGTTTTTTTTATTTATTGAGAAAATGTGTGTGCCGCCTTTCCAGACCTGCTTGAGGCAGCTGATAACTAAAATAAAAAACAAAACTAATGAAGACAATAAAAACGAGTCAGTAAAAACAAGTTAATGAAACAAACAAATAAAAGCAAGTCAAATGAAAATATGCCAATGAAAGCCCCAAAAAACAGAACAGTCTAAAATAACATTGATTACAAAGTCCTCAGGCTAGGACCAGAACAACAACAACAAAAAGCTTTAAAAAGTTGAAACTCTTTAGTTAAGGGCTTGGATAACAAGAAATGTTTTGGTCTGGAGTCTAAAGGTGCGAGGCAAGACTTGAGGGGGAGGGCATTCCAAAAGTGAGGGGCCACCACAGAAAAAGCCCTGTCTCTGGTTGCCACTTGCCTCACCTGTTGTGGACCAGCCAGGGCTCAGTGACAGGGAGGACTTTTCAGAGGAGGGGGGCCCCTCTGTAGCCAGCCCACAACCAACAACAGCTGGCCAGAAGGGTAATGAGGCCCAGGTGTTCCCTGACCTATGGCTGAGAGTTGGTGCAGAGTCAACTCAGTCCTCCAGCTCTGACTTGGCAGCCAAAGCCCAGCAACCTGTCCCCCTTCCCCAGGGTCACCGGCACCCTTGGAACGACACAGGAGAAGGCTCAGAAATGACTTAGAGGCTAGGCATCGGAGTGCATGCTTCTTGGCTCAGTGCCAGCTGCCTGCTGATAGTGGGGATGAGTTGCCACAGGAGCTTCACTGAGAAGCTGGCTGTGTGCATGCCGTTTCGGCCAATGGCTATAAAGACTCACAAGGAGAGCTCGTGGGCATGGATGCAATGTGTTCATTAGACGCTGAACTTGCCAACACTGACTTGACTGATCCTTGGTAAACCTGACTCCTGAACTGTTTGTGACACTGAGCTTCTGAAATGCCTTCTGACCTTGTTTATATTGGCACTTAGGTAGACGCTGTCACCTGACACCGAAACCCTGTTCCAGCAGCAGCCTGACTCAGAACATCACCTCTGCAGGTGGGGGCAGAGAAAGCAGGGCATGAGAAAAGCATCATAACCAGCAGGCTATGCGATACAATCGGAAGCAGTCCTTGATGCAATGAAAGAAAAGATTTTGATCTAGCGGGTGGGTCTTGCATTGTGAAAGCAGTTGCCTCATGGATCAATTTAAAGTATGCGTAGTGGCCAACTCACCTAGTTTCCTATTGGGCACAGGATGGGGTCAGAAGCTGCCCCACCCATATCCAAAACCAACACTCTCAGACACACAGAGTGGCCGTGCATGGATCAGAATCACTGAGTCCAAGTTCCTTTGCTTTATTTTAATAATAAACTGAGAGCCAGTTTGGTGTAGTGGTTAAGTGTGCGTACTCTAATCTGGGAGAATCGGGTTTGATTCCCCACTCCTCCACTTGCACCTGCTGATGTGACCTTGGGTCAGTCACAAGCTCTGGCACAGCTGCCTTGAAAAAGAGCAGTTTGTGTCAGAGTTCTCTCAGCCCCACCCACCTCACAGGGTGTCTGTCGTGGGGAGGAGAACGGAAAGGAGTTTGTAAGCCGCTCTGAGACTCCGAGTGAAGGGCGGTATATAAATCCAATCTTTTTTTTTCTTCTTCTTAATAGGAGAATAATTATAATATCCTGCTAGTTATGGAATGAAGATGCAGCAAACAGCAAATGCCACTTCCTGAATGGAGCAGATGGTCTTCTTGGAATTATATGTACAACCTCTGAAGCTGCCGTAGACCAAGTCAGACCATTGGTCTATCTGGCACAGTATTGTGTCCTCTCACCGGTAGTGGTTCTCTAACATCTCAGACATCTCTTCCCCAGCATCTGCTCCCAATGTCTGAGATCTTCTAATTGGAGAAGCCAGGGCTTGAACCTGAGACATGGGAACGATGTGCTCTCAGACAGCTTCTCCCAAGTTCTTCTCTCTCTCCTAGAGTCTATTCTTGAGCCTAGCAGATCAAAACATCTGTCCAAAGGTAAACTGAATCATTTCTAGTGATGCAATCAAAATGTGATGGGGAAAGAGCGGAAATAATGCGTTGGATCCAGTACAAAATTT